AAGCGGTGGAAGGCCACAAAGTCCCCTTCGTGGCACCTCCGGCATTTGTGTGCATGCCTCTCCAGGAAGGCAGCACACTGACAGTGAATGTTGATCTTCTGCCTCGTGGGCCACAGCTTGTAAGTTGCCTCCCACAGCAGAGGGGTGCAAAAGGCCAGGATTTTAGACTCCTGCTGCATGGTCTCCCTGCTCACAGAGGGCCTCTTCATCCCTGCAAGGCAATGAGTCCTGGCCTCAGACAAAGCTGGGGCCAGACCTCCAGGCCGCCCCAGCTGGGGCAAAGGCCACACTTTGCTGCGTGCTGCTGTCTAAGCCCAGCCTACGCTCTGCCTGCAAGCACGGTGGCAGAGGCTCTTCCAGCAGCCACTAAGAATTTCCCTCTGCACAAAGCCAGGTGAGCAGGGCCCTGTGGAGCCACACTGCTCCTGGATCCACGCTGCACCACCGCTTCTTGCCTGCCCAGAGGTGGGCAGCCTCTTTGTAGCACCTCACTTGCCTTCTGGCTTCTCGATGTCCAGTTGCTTCAGGATGTTGTCCTCCACCAGCTTGTCCAGCAGTGAATTAATCCCGTGCCTTTTGCTACTGGGAATAATGTGAACCAGCTGCTGGGTGGTAAACACCGGCCCTATGATGGCTGCAAACTTCAGAACCATCTGCTTCTCCAGATTGATCCGATCCAGCTCAGCCAGCGCAATCTCTGCCAAGAAGAAGCAACACGTCTTCGTCTTGCCTGTCCCTGAGCCTGAGGTTGGAGAAGCTGGACGGTTTCTCCAGAGGAAACGGGGAAGGCTTTGGCCTCCTCTCCCCAGGATGGAACCCGCTGGGCAACCAGAGCCCAGGATCGGTATCTTCAAGATGGCTCTGCTCCTCTCACACTCACAGGCCACAGGAGCCAGGGAAAGCAGAGACACTCAGACAAATGTTCCCGACCAACGATGGGGAAGGCACAACCAGCAGGTATGTGTGTCCCACTGTGCGACCTACTAGATCTGCACTGGGTTCGTGCCCAGCAGTGCACACAGAGAGCACAGAACATTCTCACCAGCCCAGAGCTGGACTCGGAGTTCCCCCACCCACGGTGTGCAGCGCACAGTCGGCTCAGAGCTGGTCTACTGCCCACAGAGGAAAACCACAGCCCGCAAAAGCGCAGGACTCTTCCTGCTTGGGCTGGAGTCACCTTCCTGGCAGAGCCCCGAGGCTGAGAGAGCAGCTCTGCAGCACACAGGTGCCCAGCCTCTCTTATCTGCACCCCAGGAAAGGAAGCTGGGGCACAGCCACAAACCGCTCAGCTCCTCACCTTTCAAGGCCACCGGCAGCATGGGGTTCTCCAGGCTCACGTCTGGTCTGATGGTACAGATCCTTTCGCTGTCATTCCTGGTACCCAAGCTCGAGGCAGCGGTGACAGCAGGTGACGCCTTGGCTGCAGAAGATGGGAAGAACAGGGGGAGCATGAGTAAGATCCGACAAGTCGTACCTGTTCATAGTCAGGCACACTGCCTGGCGTGCACTGAGCAGGGCCAGCAAACAAGGCAAGCCGGTCGATTCCCAATGCAAGCTTTCATTTGCATTGCCCACCCAGCTCTCTTCTGTCTTCACACCAGCTTCAGACCAAATGCCATTCAGTCAAAACTTCTGGGCTCCTCAGATGGAGAATGAACGTTGCACGACAGAATGTGGTGGTGATGCTGCCTTCAACAGCACTACCTCCAGAGCCAGGGAAGTTGCCACTGGTGCTCCAGAAGGCAAAGCCCGTGCAGGCTGCCCCTAAGCAATGATGCTCTGCTTGGCATTGCTCTTGCAGTGGCATTCCCACCGTGCTCTTCAGTTCCCAAGGCCCTTGTGAGGACTTGAGGTTTTGGAGCAGTTTCCCGCTCCCCCAGGTGGGCTTTGCTCTCACAGGAGCTGAGCTGGTGTTTTGCCAAGGGAGCAGCAAGGTGCGCAGCAGCCCACACCTCTGCCGTGGCAAGTTCTGCCCTGCTGCAGGGTCAGCCTCCGCCCACAGTCACTGGGGAGACACAGGGCACGGCTGTGTGGGAGAGGATGCGCCACAGCAAACAGCTGATCGGCAACAAGGGTGCTTACCAATCAGGCTCTGCCAGTTGTCCTGTCCTTCGTCCGGCCTCCCAGTGTGCAACAAGAGCATGTTGTTGCATCGCAGGTAGCGCAGCAGTTCCTCACAGTAATATGGGATGCCAGAGCTTCTCTGGATCAGGAACCTGGGCAGGAGCACAACCCACAGCAAGGAAGTAAGGTGCAGCACAGTTCGGATGGGCGGTGAGTCGTTCAGACCTCGCAGGCTGACCAGCCTCTTCAACATGGCTAAACCTGGCTTCTGGAAGGCGCTTGGGTGTCTGGGGCCCCCCCAAACTACAGCATTCCCAGGAATCCATCAGGAAAGGCTGATGGACAATGCCCAAAGCACAGAACAGCAAGCCACGGCAACAGCAAAGGGCTGACACCATCCAGACTCTGCTGCCTCGTGGCAGTTGCCCATTCTTAGCTCCCACCTGCTATGGCCAGGCTTGAGGAGAGACCCATACCCATCAACCCCCTTTTGGCAGGGCGCTTCCCAGCCATGGTCAGCGTAAGTGCAACCCCTCCAGAAGAGCTCCCCAGGCTTGGGCTTACCGTGCTAGCTCCCTGGGGATGCTGCTCACTCCAAGGTCCTGGCAGGCTTTCTGCACTACAGCTGAAGCTTTCAGCCCTTCCAGACGAACACAAGTGATCGTCTCAGATGTCTTGCAGTCTGCGGCAGCTTTGAAAATGCTCTCTGTTCTGTCATGGCCCGGAACTAAGCTCATGACCGTAAAGACCGTGACACTTTGAAGCAGGGGCCACATGATAGACCAGGACCTAGTGTCGAGGAAGTGGGCGTTGTCGATGAAAAATATGCCGTATTTCCCCCCAAGCACCTGAAAAAAAGGTGGTTCTGAGTGGAATCTGGTGGATTCTTGAGTGTCTTCCAGGGAGGACACACAACCTTTCTCGCTCTCGAGACAAGGGGATATTAAGCAGTCTCTCCCCAGCCACCTCCTTCTCCAGGAGTTTACCAACTTTGTTTCTGCGAGACTGCAAAGTCTCCTCTAACATCAGTTGCCCGGCAGAAGGAGAGAACTTGGGCAAAGTTCCTGGAGGGCCATGACCCAGGTGCATCGTCCTGCCGCCCTCTCTGGCAGCTCCAGCGCGGAGCCAACAGCTGGCACAGTTGTTTGCCTGCTGTGAGGCAGAAGGAAGGAGACGTGCTCACCTTCTGTAGCACTTGTGTACAAGTCAGGTGGAACGCGCTGGCCCTTTCAGCGGAACACATCTTGGAAACCTCGTCCGTGATGGGAAACTGTCCAGGAAAGACAGAGAAGAACATTGCTGCAGATCTGGGCACACCTATCTCCCAGAGCAAGACTGCAGAGCAAAATGCCTCTGCTTTTTCGTGTGGCCAGCACCAGCCCCTTTTCAGTGCCTTTTCCAGGGTGCTGAACAAGACACGGGGCACGTGCACAGCACAGGAGCGCCCCATGCACAGGGGCACAGGAATCAGACAGGTGGGGTACGGCCTTCACAAGTCCCAGCCCTGAGCTGAGCCACTCCCAGCGGAGCATCCAAGCAAGACAGCCTCTCACTCTCACCTCAACTAAGAAAACATCGTTTAGCAGGCAATAGCTGCTCTCTTCCACTGTGTCTTGGAGCACGGTCTGCAGAGTGCGCTGCCTGTCACTGGAGGTTTCATCACCCTGGAGACCCAGCGCCCTGGCCACCAGTAGACGGATGGCAGAGAAGGGCTGCTTCATGTTGTCCTCTGTCAATTCCATAGTGTTGACCCTGCGGTGCAAGAGCGGAAGGCACTGAGATCCAGAATTGCCTCCTGGTAGCTCAAGCCCGCCCAGACAGCAGTGCTCGATGGGTGAGGCGCCTGGTTCTTTCTGCAGAGGAAAGCAGGACCCTTCGGCCACCCATCTCCAAGTGCTTCCTGGAGAGGACCAAGCTTTCCACTTATAGGATGAGAAAGAGTCCTGAGGGGCGGCTGCAGGCCGATCACTGGGGGGGGTGACCACGGCCTCTAGGTCAGCCCGGGTCACACTACGCACGCCCTGCAGCGGCCCTCATTGGGCTAAGAAGGAAGGCCTCAGCAGGTGGCAGGTCTGCGTCTGCCGCTCAGCCCGCAGCAAGGCTTTTCTGCCCCAGTGCTCCTTCTGGAAAACAGGCAGAGGGCAAGCAGCGCTTCTGAGACGGGCCACCTTGCTTGCCCTCAGCTCCAGAGCTGGAGCTCTTTCCGTCCCTTTGTGCTTGGCCCAGGGACAAAGGAGAAAAGCAGTGGCTCACAAAGCCAGCTGGAACTCTCCGAGAAGGCGGGTGCTGCTCGGGAGGGTCTACAGTAGGCTTTTTTAGGAGGCTGCAGCGCAAGGGCTGGGTACAGTGGCACCCGGACTGCAGTGTTTCATAAACAGCAGGGACAGGCAGGGGAGGGGTGCCAAAGTGACAGCTCCAAAGTGCTTACTTGTACTTAGTAGCCCGGTCTAAAACGGCCAGCTCGGCAAGTAAGTGGCTCTTTCCGGAGCCTGGAATGCCCACAAATGCCAGGATCTGTGCTTCTTCCAAAAGCTCATAGGCCTCCAAGCAGCAATCAAAGGTTTCGATCTCCGCCTCACGACCTGTGCAGATCCACAAGAAAATGAGCTGCTGCAGCATGCCGAAAAGCGGGGAGCCCCTCCAGTTCTCTCCCCTATCCCGCAGCAGAGAGGGAGGGAGCGAGCAAGCGGCTGCATGGGGCTCAGCTGCATGCCAGGGCAGCACACAGCACAGCCCCTGGCACTGGGCAAAGGGAAGCAATTGGGCTTCAGATAAGTTCTCCACCTACCCAGCAAGGGACCATAGTGCGACCTCTCCCTGGCAAGGCCCATGTCATTTTGGCTAGAAGGGGGAGAAAAAAAAGTCACTTAGTTGGTCGGAAGCTATTGCACCCAGAGCCTGCTGTGGAGGGGTGGGAGAAGCCTCTCTCGAGCAGCATGTTACCCAGAGCCCATTACCCTGGCCAAAGCTCAAGGTGGCACACTAGGACAGCTTCAAGCATAAAGAAGTCCAGCAGCCACGGCAGGACAGCTGAAACTAACAGAAGTCCCTTGTTGGATGCAACAACCAAAAAAATCCAAGATGAGGAAAGAAGCCAGGCTGCACTGCTGGCTAGCTGACTGCTCTGCCAGCCTGGACAAGCAAAACAAGCCTCTTGGAAACGAGGACCTGTGTCTCTCAGTGGCTTGGGATGCCCAAGCTGCTGGCACCTTTGCCTCAAGTCTTGCAGTGCTTTCCAAGAGACGGTAGCATTCACGTTCAAAAGGCCTTCCAACAAGGAGGTCAAAGACAGGAAGGAGGAAGACAGGAGGAGGCAGAGCATGTCAGCAGCCCATCTTTCCCCAGTGGAATACGACTGACCCACAGCTTCCTGCTGGGAAGCAGCTGGGGAAAAAAACCCACCCCATGCAGCAGAATGACCTGCTGGCTTAGTCATACAGATGGTAGAAAAAAGCACAACACAGCAAGCTCAGAGGAAAGCTGCTCTGACAAAGCCCACAAGGCTAGCCTGTGTCTCCAAAGCCAAGCCAGTCTTCCCCAACCCAGTGCTATCACTTGCACTCTCTTAGCAGCAAGAGGCACAAGGGCAGAGAGGCAGAAAGCAGACCCACACCAGGGCTTCCGATCTTCTCAGCCACAGGCAAGGGAGGTCTGTGGGAGACCAGCCTGGTCTCACTGCAGAACTCCTCTCTGCCAGCCAAGGCTGTACCCTTGAGGCCCCTCTCCCCTCACTTGCACAGCTCAGAGAACACTTACTGCTCGGTGATCCCCATGTATTGATAGATGGTGACGGGATTGGTAACACCTTTCATGTCTCTCTGTGGCAACTCTTTGAAGCAGTAGCTGGGCAGGCGAGAGGCCGCGTGGGTCTCTGCATCACAGGACACCATCCCTGGGTAGGCTATCATCATGCGGGCGGCCAAATTCACCTTAAAGCCAAGGGCTGCCAAGAGAGAAGAAACAGCATACGTCAGCGCAGTTGGGAAACCTTCAAGGCCAAGGGCAACCTCCCCTCCCGGGCACCGGACTACCCAAATGCAGGGCAAGCGGACCCGAAGGGAACCACATGTCTCTGAGCCCATCCTCCCGCCCCAAGGCCCCAGCGGGCTGCACCGTGTCCTTGCCTCAGCCCATCTGCCTTGTCCAGTCTGACGGGCTGAAGCAGACCCATGCCAGCCTCACATTCCTAAGACAAAGGAGCCCTACCTGTGTGTTCACACCTCTCAGGATGGCCAGTGAGGCCGCAGAACGCCGTCCCGCTGCTGACCCCGACAGAAACTTGCCTGGCACACAGAGAGAGTAACGTGCATTCAGCAGCAGCCCTGCTGCCGTCCTGCTCGCCCTATTCCATCCCTGCCCACCTCTCCCCTCCTTGGCACTGGGACCACAAACGCACCACATGGGTCTTGGGGACGTGGAGAGCTTGCGGAGCAACACGCCCCGGTGGCAGGGGACGTAGGTAGGGCACACGCAAGACCACTGGGCCCTTTCCCAAGGCCTGATGGCTGCAACCTGTGCCAGGCCACAGGCTCTTCTCCTTAGTGGGAAGGCTAGCAGGTACGGCCTGCACACTACCTACAATGGCAGTGACTGGAGGTCGAGGGACCGGGCCCAGGCCTTGTTCCTGGCCCCATTGCCCAGAGGAGCCTGCCTCTGGCACTGAGGAGCTGTGTGCCCTGGTGAGGGCTCGCTCCGGCACGGTGACTGGCAGGCAGCGCTTGGGGGGACTGTGCCTGGCTGCCGTGGGCTAACCTGCCACCTCTGAGACGCTGCCTCCTTCCCACCAGGGGCGAAGCAGGACGAGCCAGGGGGGCACGTCTCTTGCTCATCAGTCCCCTCGTGCCATCCCAGGCAGCACACACACCCCGTCCCATGCACTCACTGGAGTTTTCTCAGCCCCGTGGAGGCCTTGTGGAAGATCTGCATAGCACATTCCAAGGTGTGGGTGCTCTCACAGGCCAATTTTTCTCCAGGAAATCCAAACACGCAGAGAAAGGTGCAGCCCTGCAAAGAAGAGGTGCAGTGCGGCTTGTTTTACAATAGTGATGGCCAGCAGCTGATGCATTCTGCCAGAGGCATCGGGGAGACCAGCGGAGCTTCAGGTCAACCCACAGCCACAGATGCCAGCAGCACGGCAGAGCTGCTTCCCATTCCCGTGCTGCCAAACAGACAGAGGCATCCTGGGGATAGGATGGCTACCATGCACTCACTTTTTCAAACAGAAGAGTTTTGTTGATTTCACCCTTGTGAGGGCTGATGATTTCTGAAATCATACTGCTGCTATCACTGAGGCTGCTGCTGAGCTCCGCTATGCTGATCGTGTCAGGAAACTGCAGCTGGACAAAGAGGGCGGTGACCGGCCGTAGCTCAGAGCACAGCTCCAGTGGCACGTCCTGACGAAGCTGCAAGAGAAGAGCGCATCAGCTTTGCCAGCCTGCTCTCCTGGGGGCTTCTCTGGGCCCAGAGCAGACACCAAGGGACAGCGGGCGTGCTGGCAACACCAGGTGCTACTGGAGGATGGGGAAGTCTTCCCAGGTACGGAGTCCTGGCACCAAGCTGCTCTGGCAACGCTGTCCTGTGACACGTGCAGGCACGAGGGGAGACTCTTTGCCATCCTCTAGGCACCTGAGCGGGATCTTGTCCCCCTTGCTCCCTCCCCCAGGCCTGTGCAACCTCCAAAACTACAGCCATGCAGAAGACAGGGAAGTCTGCCTCCCACCATCCGTGTCTCTCAGAGGAACAGCACAAAGGGACAGCTTCCGGGCACGTCTGGCCCCAGCAACCCTGGCATCTCTTTTCCTCGGGCTCTCGGCTCAGACTGCACTTTCCTCTGGCTGCCCGTTTTCCCGAGGGCTCCACACCGTCTCCTGCCCTCCCTACACGCAGCCGCCAGCAGTAGTGGCCATACCTTGTGGAGAACTGCTGTCGGTATGTGCATCTCCAGCCTCGCTGCCACTTCAGGATCACCAGAGCTCCTAAGAACCGGCCTTTGGAGGGCTAAAGAAAGGAAACACAGGCCGTCACTGGCAGGGCAGGACTACAGGGGCTTGGGAAGCTGGACACAGCAAGGGAAAGATTCTTCTGTGCTTGCTCCTGTTCCTGACTGAAGCAGGCAGGACCCAGCTTTCCAGCCAGTCTCAGGACAAGGAACTCACCCGTCCCTTTCAAATGCCAATCCCCTCTGTACATGTTCAGCTGGCCTATAGCATCTTGGTATTCTTGGCGAGCTAAGTGCATCATTCTCACAACCTGAAGACACACAGGAGGAAAGGAATGCCACTGCCCTCCCCAGAAGCCCCAGGGCACACGGCCTGCCCCTCCACTCTCACTTCCCAGACAAGGGCAAGCCCACCTCCCTGGACTTTCAGCTGTGGCGCAAGGGAAGCAGCCTTGACTCTCTGCCTAAGCTTATGGTTAGGGCTGTGGCCACATTCAGCCTCTCAGCCGCTCCCCGCCCAGGTGCAGGTCTTCCAAAGGGCTCGAGGCCACACCATTCACCCACCTTCATGGCCCTTCTGTCAGCAATAGATTCGGCCTTGATTCGTTGCTGCCCACAGAGCTCCCAGCAGGTCTGTGACATCATGATTTCATAGTCAGCCGAAAGGCTCTGGGCCTCAATAACTTCGTCCAGGGCCTGGCTGCAGATGAAGAAGTACTGATGATCCCCACCTCTGACCGATATGAAGGAGAGAATCCCGGCCGAGATCCCTGGGGAGAGAAAGACCAGCAGTGTTAACACAGGGAGCCTTTGGAACTCGGTAGCCCCCAGCTCTGCACAGAAGCTCAGCTGATGCCCAACCTGGAGACAGGCACCAGGGAGGGGAAGGGCCTTGGGCATCCTTTTCGGGGCCATACCCACACAGCTCCCAGAAACGGGCGTCTACAAAGGGGCAAACAAAGCCAACACTGACAGTGCATTGGCACTGCCGGGCGGCCTACAGCACAAGCCCAGCAGAGCAGCAGCTTTGAGCAGCGTCTGCTCTGTTTACGCGAAGGCGGGTTGCAAGTGTCTGCCTAGCAAGACAAGAGCCTTCCAGAGAGTGAGGGGAAGAGAAAGGAAGAAAAGCAAACAGGGAGACCCAGAAAGAGGAGGATAGAAGAGGTCCTGTGGATGTCTCAAGTCAAGTCCCTGCCCACAGTCTGCTGCCCAGGCATGCTGTCTGTGGTGTGAGGAGAGCCTGCAAAAGCCCGGCTCAAAGCCATTAGGCAAAGCGGCTCCCCTTTGCTGGCCATGAAAAGCAGCAACCCTTGGCTGTTCAGCTCCTGGAACTTGAGGAAGCGTCCCAGAGGTGACACATCCCTTATCCAAAGGGCAAGCGGGACAAAAGGGCCCGTCTGGGGACCGGGTCTGGGATCTACGTCCCAGTGTGGTCAGAAGTTGGGGCCCCCAGGGACAGCGCAAGCTGTGCTCTGGTACCCTCACTGGGAGCAAGGGGCCTGTGCTACAGCTGATGTGGGGCAGGCAGGGAAGGAGCCCTTGCCTCCCCTGCCCTCACTACCTCCTGCTCGCCCCCTGCAAATGCTGGCAGGGGAGGCTATCCATCGGCTCTAGAGAGTACCGGGGCTGACCCATCCATACCTATCTTCAGGTGGAGCTTGAGACCCATGTGCGTGTCATGAGTGCCGTACTTCTTCTGGATTTTCCAGGAGCACTGCAGCGCCACGTTGATGGCCATAGGCATCTGAGGCGGTGCTGCTCTCCAAAGCACCAGCACAGCATCCCCTGTGGAAAGGGAAGGGAAGGTGAAGGCTCTCCCAAGGGCTGACTCTCCCCGACTTGCACCCAGCCGCAGGGACAGCAGCAAGCAGCTGGCCGGCGTGCCGAGGAAGATGGGACTGTGGGAGGCCATCATCCTGAAGGACCTCCGGGCAGCCTGGCCTCAGCGACCCCTCCCATCCGCCGGGCCAGCCACAGCGACCACCAGGGCAGCAGAGCAAGAGGGTGGGTGGTGGGGGGCGGCAGTGAGGCTGACACCTCCCACCGCCAGTGCCCCTCGGCACTCAAAGACAGGGCTCCCTCCCCCCCACCGCTTCTCCCACGCCTCAGCGCTCCTGTAGAAGCCCTGCTCAAAGCTGGAGACAAAGCAGTTCCCCTTTGCTCTCCGCAAAAAGCAGGGTGGAATCCAGGAGGCTCCCACGGAAGACGCTGCGCATCAGCAGAGCGCTGACACTGCCTCCTCCTAAGGACCCACCTGCAAACTTCAGGATGTCTCCTCCAAAAGCCAGCACCACTGCAGACAAAGAGAAGGAAAAGCAGAGTTACGGGGATGCCTTCTTCCAGGAGCCACGGGAAGAGCCACTGTGCCCGGAGAGGACCACCGTGGCGGTGCATGGCTCCAGAAAGCCCTGCTCCCAGGGCCGCTGCGGCCACAGCCCTGGAAGCTGCACAGTCAGCAGGGAGGCAGCGCCTCGAGATACGGTGCACAGCATGGTGAGAGCAGGAGGGCACCTCTGGAGAGAGTCTGCGCACCGCTCCACTCAAGCAGAGCCACCTCTTGCCCAGGGCCACATCCCCAGGCCTTGTGAGGACCTCTGGGTGGGCAGATCGGCCGGCCTTCCTGGGCAACCTGTGCCGCAGCTCAGTCAGCCTCACCGCAGAGGCCTTCCTGCCCAGCAGAGCCTCCCGCCTTTCAGTTTGTGCCCACCACCTCTTGTCCTGGTGCCAAGCCACATCAAAGACAGCGTGGCTCCGGCTCCTTGCCCCTTCAGGGAGGCAGGGGCGGGCGGCCCAGCACAGCTCTCTCCACAGTGAGCCAGCCTCGGGGCTCGATGCCCGACAGCCCAGCAGCACGGCTCTTACCCTCCAGAATGTCCCCCATGTAGGCGTTGAGGACATGAGCCAGCTCCTCAGCTCCTCTCTCTGGTCCATTCTGCTGGACACACTTCTCTGCCAAGGCAGTGAAACCTGCCGGAAGGACACTCACAGATCAGGAGACGTCTGCGTTGCACCTGTAGCTCACCCCTTCCCCAGCCCCGGCTGAGCGCTCGTCACAACCATGGCTGACGGCGCAGGAGAAGCCGCCCGCTCTTTGGGCAGCACGGCAGCAGGCCTGCGCAGTGGCAAGATGGCCACCCTGCCTCGGGGCAGGCCTCGCGAAGGCCTGGAGTGTCCCCAGGGCTCGTGTCTGTGGGTGCTCCGCCATGCCCAGCCCACCTGAGACATCCGCCAGCAGCAGGACTCCCTCAAGCGATTTGGGGTTCAGCTCTTAGCAGTAAAGGAAATCCAGCCCTGCTTTCCACAGACGTTCTTTCTGGGTTCAGCAGGAGACGTTCACTGTTGTACCCGCATTTGTCATCAAAAAGAAAGCTAAGAACTGAAAAATAGTATTCCAAGAGTCTGCTGTTAGTTAAGTATTTTTTGGCTTTCTGTGCTTACAAACTGCATCTTAACATACATCGTCATTAGAAATTCTCACTATGAAAAGCTATTAGGGTTGTCATGCAGGCTAATAATTGCAGTATGATAATTAACCTGTTTATTACAGTGCTTCTATGCATATACATACAACCAATAATGGCACAGAAGTCTGGGAACTGTAGGTGGTTTCCAGTGCAGGTGGACATAAGAAAAGCCAGTACCTGGAGCAGGAGGTGTACGCAAAATAACTTCTTTGCTCCACGAGCTACACATGGACCCTTTGTATCCTCGAACTCTAAAGGCGTAGCTACTGTCTTCATCAAGATCAGGTATGACTTTGCTCTTGCTGCAAACTTCAACCTCCTGCCACATCACACTCTCCTCTTCTCTACTAAGCTTGCGATACTGAAGAGCGTACATATCAGCAGAGTCTGTCTTCTTGGAGGACTCCCAGCTGATCACAGCTTTGTTATACATTATGCATTGCTCCTCATTGATTTCTGGTACTTCCAGACCTGGAAGGCCACAGATTGAGGAGAAAAAATCCAGAAGTTTAGATATTTAGATATACATTGTTTTAAAGTGACTGCTTCAGAAATTTGTCATGGAACACAGAGTGTTAACACTATATTTTTACGTATAAACACATATACAAATATCAACAGTTGGAATTAGACAGAACACAGAGATATTCTGAAAATATTTTCAGGAACCAGGCTTGAATGCTGCTATCACATTTCGCACTGCAAAACAAGGTGTTCAAGTAGTTGTAGGGTTTGTTGGTCACTTGTCCTTCCTGCAACTCAGCACTCCTACTTTTGTATCTAACTTGGAGTATAAATCAAGAGAACATTTGCAGAAGAGAGCAACGAATCTGAACAGGTGCAGAAGCGTCCCACTTTTCACATTTTTACATTGGTTCATTTTCTGAAGTAGCAACTGTGGAACAGCAATAAAGCAAGGTTTTATGTTCAAAGAAAAACTTGAAGTAGTTAAGCATGAGTATTTTGCATGCAAGTATCATCCTTGTTTTGTTAGCTGAATGGCATTACACTTGTGAGAAAGAATTGCCCCGCTGAAGAATGGAAGACTTGAGGGTTCAGGTCCTGAAACGCTGCTGTGCTTTGCTATGATTTCTCAGAGGTGAGAGGGTCTAATGCTTTCTATTTTTTGGATCTACCAGCATGCAGAACTCTATGTGTGTGCAGAATTGGGCAGCCTGTGTAGCACTGCTCCTGTCTTTCCTAGGGTTCTTGTACCATTTATCACAGAAACGTTTTAGGCAGCGTAATTTAGGCTCCTTCTTACTGTTCCCCACGCACGTTGAGCAACAAGGATGCATTTCCTTGGCCTCTCTCAAGGGGTATTTTTTACTTGATCTCATGACTCTGTGCTCTGCAGCTGCCTATATGGGCAATCTTCAAAAAATAAGAATCCCTCCTGTCCCTTCTGCCATGATGAGATGTTTTCTAATAGCTTGGATTCTCATGACAACTCTCTCCCTATTTGTTTTGTTTCTTTATGCTTGTCTCCTCTAGTGTCACGTTTATAAGCGAAGTTCTGCTCCACTTTTTCTAAGTGTTTATAAAGGTTATCTCTGGATACAAGTCTATGACAGGGGAGCAGGTCCCGGGAAAAAGAAAAAAAAAAAAAAAGAAAGCGTACGAACGGTTTGCCACGGGACCCAGCCGGCTCCGGGCCACGTGCGCTCCGGGAGAGGCGGAAGGCAGAGAGCCAGCCGATAGCTTTAACAAAGAGGAAACACAACGGCAGCGATCTGAGGAGGAACGGTAATTTACTAAATTAACCAAATCAAAACGAGGGAGAGAAGAGTATGCAAAGTACAAGTCAAACCACGACAGTGCGGAGGAAGCACGGGCTTTTCTCCGCGGCCGAGCCGGGGCTAGAGGGGGAGGCAGACGCTCCGGGTCTTATCCGAAGCTCCTCCCCACTTTCTTTTCCCGCCAGGTCCTCCGCGGATGCCATCGCCCCTCCCCCCCCATCAGGATACTCAAAGTGCCCAAAAAAGGCAATAAACGGGACCAGAACATTAACTCTTTAACTCCCCTTGGGCCACATGATGTTCTGATGTGGGAGACTGACAACAAAAAATCACAAAACCACAACAACAAGCTCCTATTTGCCACCCAGATTACCTCTCCAGAGAGGTGTGCTGTCTTCCAGGAGCCTGTGTTATAGACATTAGGAAGGCTTGTCCACAGCTCATCAAACTGGAAAATTACTATCCTTTCATCGTCATTCAGGATGGGTCCTAGGATGCTGTGATGGAGGAACTGAGGAATGCTAAAAGGGACTTTGCATCCCTTGGAAAGATGTTGAAGTGATCAGGGGTGCAAGCAGTATTCTCCTCTGTCCTCCCAGCGCATAGCTGGGACCTGGAAAGAAGGAGGAAAACGTGACAAGTAAATGACCAGCTGAGGGGTAATGTCTGGATCAAGGCTTTGGGAATTCCGGTCTTAAGCAGGCCTTTGAGATATCGGGTGTGTGGGCTTATGATGGACTCCAACTGAGCAAGTGGGGCCCATGTGTTCAGGGGAGCAAACTGTCTGGATTGATTACCAGGGCTTAAAACTAGTTTTGATGGGCAGAGGGGAGTAGGATGTGACAGAGAAGGGCTAGGGGATGTTGTCACTGTTAGAGATAGCAGAGAAAAACCTCTGAGTTCTCCCATAGGATCATGCGAGGGCTCCTCAGGGAAGGTAATATTGCCAGTACTCCATCCAAAATCTTGCATCCTGCACCTGCTGCTTCCCTAAAGTGCCTGTATACCAATATGGAAAATAAACTGGAAGAGTTGGAGATCTATGTACAGTCACAGGGCGATGATCTCATTGCAGTCACAGAGACATAGTGGGACAGCTTGCATGACTGGTATGCTGTCATGGAAGGCCATGTTTGGGGACATAGGCTGGGGAAGCAAGGTGGAGGAGTTGCTCTTTATGTGCGAGAGCAACTAGAATGTATCTGGCTCCACCTGGGGAAGGGTGAAGAATACGTGGAGAGCTTGTGGGTGAGAATGAAGGGACAGGCTGGTATGGGTGACACGGTTGTGGGGGGTGTAGTACAGGTCAGCAGATCAGGAAGATGGAAGTTGATGAGGCCTCTACAAGCAGCTGGAAGTAACCTCTCAACTGTGGGCACTGGTTCTTGTGGGGAACTTTAATCGTCCAGGCATCTGTTGGGGAAGCAACATGGCCAGGCACATGCAGTCTAGGTAGTTTCTACAGTGTGTTGAAGATAATTTTCTGACACAGGTGGTAGAGGAGCCAACAAGGTGGGTGATACTTCTGGACCTTGTTCTTACCAACAGGAATGGACTTGTTAGGGATGTGAAGGATGGGGGTAGCTTGGGATGGTTGAGTTCCAGATCTTGAGTGGAAGAAGTAAGGCAAAAAGCAGGATTGTTACTCTGGACTTTTGGAGAGACAACTTGGACCTTTTTTGGGACCTACTTGGAGGTATCTCATGGGCTACAGTGCTAGAAGGTAAGGGAGCCTGTGAGAACTGGGCAACATTTAAACAGCACTTCTTCCAACCTCAGCATGAATGCAGTAGGAAATCTTGGAAAGGAAGTAGGAGATCTGTGTGGATAAGCTCATGGATAAGATCAAAGGGAAGAAGAAGCTCTATGAAATGTGGAAAAGGGCCTGTGCTCCTGGGAGGAGTTTAGGAATGTTGTTGTGATCAATCAAGCTTGTACCCTTCTGGCATTACTGTCTGGGTAGATGGGGAGAGAGCAGTGGAAGTCATCTATCTTGACTTCAGCAGGGCTTTCAAAACAGTCTCCCATGAGACATCCTGGTAGTGAAACTGATAAAGTATGGGATAGATGAGTGGATGGTGAGGTGGGTTGAGAGCTGGCTGGCTGAGCTCAGAGAGTGGTGATCAGCAGCGCAGAGTCTGGTTAGAGACCTGTGACTAGAGTGTTCCCCATGTGTTGGTGCTGGATCTGGTTTTGTTCAGTATCTTCATCAACAACCTTGATGAGGGGATATGTCCATGCTCAGGAGGTATGCTGATATACAAAACTGGGAGGAGTCGCTGACACACCTGAAGTCTGTGCTGCCATTCAGCACGTCCTGGACAGGCTGGAGAGATGCAAGCTTTGCTCCTGGGAAAGAATAACTGCATGTATCAGTGCGAACTGGAGGAGAAAGGAGCTCTATAGAGAGGGACCTGAGTGTCCTGGTGGACAACAGGTTGGCAATGAGCCTTTAGTGTGCAATGGTGGCCAAGAAGGCCAATGGGATCCTGGGGTACATTAAAATGAGCATGGCCAGTGGGTCAAAGGTGGTGATCCTTCCCTTCTACTCTGCCCCGGTGAGGCCTCACCTGGAATTCTGTGTCCAGTTCTGGACTCCCTGGAGAATGTCCGCCGGAGGACCACGAAGGTGATAAAGGGCCTGGAGCAACCTCTCTTGTGAGGAAAGGCTAAGTGACCAGAGTCCTTCAGCCTTGAGAAAAGAAGGCTGAGAGGGGATCTTATTAATATTTACAAACATCTTAAGTGTGGAAGTCAAAGGAATGAGGCCAGACTCTTTTCTGTGATGTGTGGTGATAGGACAAGGGGAAACAGTTACAAACTGTAGCATAGGAAGTTCTGCACAAATATGCATAAAAACTTCTTCACAGTAAGTATTGCGGAGCACTGGAACAGGCTGCCCAGAGAGGTTGTGGAGTCTCCTATGGAGATGTTCAAGATCTGCCTGCATGCCTACCTGTGCAATCTCATCCAGGAGCCTGCTTTGGCAGGGGGGTTGAACTAGATGATCTCCAGATGTCCCTTCCAGCCCCTACAATTCTGATTCTTCATAGTGAGGGTGATGG